TGCCATAGCCAGGTGTTCTGAGTCAGCAGAGCAGGAACTTGAACTTGAGACCCTCCAATCCCAGGACAGAAGCCTAACAAGCAGGATGTGGGAATTCTCTGCCCAACTCTCTCTCTCACTGAGAAAGTGAGGAGTCTTGCAGCTGGGAAGCTGGTGTTGAGTTGTTAACATTGATGGAATAGGTATACCACTTGGAGAGGACACTTTCTGTGAGGTAGACTTTATAGCTTGTGTTCTAATGATTTGTTTTCCTATTTCTCAAAAAGTGGCTTGAATGTGGTGTGTGGTATGCTTTTTTTTTCTTCCTACGGCAAGAAAGCAAGGGTGCAGAGAAATGCACTCTTCCCTCCACATAGGGTTTTCATGACCACACAGGTGTACTGTTATAGCTGATGTATATTTGATCCCTCTTAGAAAGTTTTACTAGAAGGAAATGTTGCAGTAACATTGCTGCTGTCCATGGCAGTAAGGGTGGCACTTTCTTTGCCTCCCATAGCCACAAATGGACACATGCTTTCTTCCAGCAATCAGTGGACCTCTGCCAACTAAGGTATGGTGAATAGTCCATGATCTTTAGGAAAAAATCACCGGCAATCTTTCAGCCCTAGCAGTATACCAGTATTCACATGGCCGTTTTTGTGAGGTAAAGGAGTAGAAACTCAATCTTAAGCTAAAGGTAGCCCTGACATTTTAACTTTCTGAAAGTCTTGGTGCTTGCACCTGTCAATTTTGTGAGCCTCTAATATGCTACAATACTTGTATTACACCACTACTGTTTGCTGGAAGGAAGAAGGTTTGTGTGACCAATGAAACCCTCTTTTAAAAAGCATTTCTACAATTTCTTGGTCAGTTCATAGATGCTAGAACCTGATTAGTTCTCACGGATTTCTTCTTTTACTGAGTGCCCCTTAGTGTCAGTGATTTTTCCTAAAGATCACAGACTATTCACCAGACCCCAGATATTTGGGTAATATCTTTTTTTGGACAAACCTGGCAATCCTCTATAGATAATAAGGATGCTCTTCTCTGGGGGGAGGGAGGAAGAGAGGCAGAAGCAGCCCCTCTGGCAGCCTGCAAAGGAAAAGCCAGGATTTCCCACATTTTTCTCCCCGAAAGGAGAATCCACTTTTAAAGTCTGTTCACCACCCTTTTGTATATTCCCACGACCCACTTTTGGGGGTGACCCATGGGTTGAGAAATGCTGTCTTAAGGGGTTGCCTCCTGGGACCTTTTTCCCTTGCCAGACCTCTACCCCCAGCATGTGTGAATCCAGGGTTGCCAACTCTCATGATTTTTGACATGAAGTCTACACTTCAGAAATGTGAGCAGTGTAGCTCTTTTCATAGATTTCATAGACGTTAGGGCTAGAAGGGACCTTGGAAGATCAAGTCCACCCCCCCCGCCCCAGAGGCAGGAAGTCAGCTGGGGTCATAGGAGATAAGCATCCAAATGCTTCATGCTTCTTAAAGGAGTCTAGAGTAGGTGCTTGCCCCACGTCTGGAGGGAATCTATTCCAGGCCTTGGGGACTTGGACAGTAAAGAAGTTTTTCCTTATGTCCAGCCTAAAATGGTCCTGAAGGAGTTTGTGACCGTTGGACTTTGTCATCCCTTGGGGTGCTCTGGTGAACAGATGTTCTCCCAGATCCTGATGTACTTATAGGCAGCCACCAGGTCCCGCCTGAGCCTGTGATTTTCCAGGCTGAAGAGTCGCATGGCTCTCAGCCTCTCTTCATGAGGCCTGTTTTCCTGACCTCTGATCATGCACGTGGCTCTCCTCTTCACTCTCTCAAGCTTCTCCACATCCTTCCTGAATTGTGGAGCCCAGAATTGGACACAGTACTCCAGCTGCGGCCTCACTAAGGCTGAGTACAGCGGGAGGATGACATCCCAAGATCTGCTTGAGAAGCATGTATGGATGCAAGCCAGGGTTTTGTTTGCTTGACCAGCTGCGACATCGCACTGGGGGTTCATGTTCGTCTTGTGGTCAGTCATGACCCCAAGTCCCTTTCGGGTGCAGTGCTAGCAAACATAGCCTATAAGTGTGCTGCAGGGCTCCCCCGCCCAAAGTGGAGCATCTTAGGTTGAATGCCAGCAGGTTGTTATCTGCCCGCTTTCTAAGCCTGTCCAGCTCAGCCTGGATCCCCAGCCTCTCCTCAGGTGCCGACGCGCTACCCCAAAGTTTGGCGTCGCGGGCGAACTTGGCCAGTCCGCTTCTGCCCCCAGTGTGCAGCTGCTAATCTTTTCTTTTATATATGGATAGAAACAGAGGTAAAAGAAAGAGCTACGTTGTTGGGTTTTTTCCACATTTCCGAAGCGGGGACTTGAAGAACAGCGCCCAACACCACGAGAGCTAGCAACCCTGAGAGCTCCTCTCGGGCGGCAACAGCCACGCCCTCGGCGCGCGGCCCGCCCAGACCCCGGGCGGGGGCGGGGGC